GTTATCAGAGCGACCTCGGAAAAGGTATGTTTAACTCCTTCGTTAATACTGTAAGTGATGTGTTAAGAATGTCATATTGTGTTTTAGTTGTTTAATCTGTTTACTGTCCAGATTTGACGCTTTTTGGTCCTTTCGTTGTCGAGATATTGTAATACCGATTACAGGGAAAAAAAGGTTAATGAAAGTTTACTTGTTCCTGGAAAAAAGCGGCCTCGCCAGCTGCATACGCGCCGACTTTGTTAAAACTTCCCTCTATAAAAAAAAATCTTGCAAAAAAAAGTTCGGCAAACCTTCTTATAAAAATTCGTTTTCTTCAAAGACAAACTTCAGGGCTCTATATGCAAAAAAACCAAAGAAATCTTATGTTTCTAACTACCTAAATTTCGACTACAAAGTAATAGAAAAATAGTAATGTTGGAATCAGCTCCTACGTCATATTTTAGTAATTATTCCGACGACGACGGTACAGATCAACACGATATAGCAATAAACCGATAGCCTTTGTTCTGAGGAATTGAGGAATCGATTGGCGTCAAAAAATCTGCAAATTTCCAAAAATAAACCAGGTAAACAACGCCCTTATTAAACGTTGGCCACCAGCTTTGATGAAGTTGCCGGCCAACCCGCTTACTGTAGCTCGCGTCCCGCCACGAAAAAATTTTAACACAAATTGGAAATGACGACGCATATATATACACATTGTGTCTAATATGCAGCACTCTTCACGACAAAGGTTTTTTTCTCTAGTCACTCTATGTGTATTATATATATGTATTACGCTCTTTAATGAAAAATTGATGAGCGACCTTCGTCAAACCACGGCGTTGCCATTATGTCTTGAGACCGAGACTTGGACTTTTTTGTCGTTGTCGTCGTCATCGTCGTCATCATCATCATCGCCATTATCGTTTTCGCCAGTATCGTTATTCAATAACTCGTCTTAATACATTGCGGTGTTCAAAATTTTTCCGTGTTGTAACAGCCCTATAACGGAAATCGCGCATCACGGTGTGCCACCTAGTGAAGAGCAATGGGAACAACAATTTTAGCGTTGGTGATACTCTTTTTTTAAAAATTTTGCAGGATATCGTGCGATGAAGATATCCTTGTTATCTTTTTTCTTTTGAATCTTCCAGCTGTTTTTTTTCCTACTGCTTTTTTTTTTAAATTTTGGCAGCGAAAAATTAATATCCGAAGAGCTTAAACAAGACTGAGACTATTGAAGTGTTGAGTTGTAAAACAGGTTTTTTTGCAGTGGCTGCGAAACAACGTTTCGTCGGGTAAGCAGCAATGATGACTGTAGTCAATCGAGAATAGCTAGTTATATAAACATAAATGCATAACTACGTTGGCGGATATTTACTGGCAGCGGTCTTTTTTCTTTCTTATTAATTGGGGCTAAAAAGTTTAGCAAAAAAATTTTTTGTACCACTGTTTGCTGGTTAATACAGTGTGTATTGTTTACATTTTGTTTCTATTAAAATTACAAGTACAAGTACATGGAACTGAGTGATTCATTTGTGTTTTAAATAACAGCAAGTTATTGTTTTTTTTTTTTGTTTTTTGTTGTTGTTGTTGTTGTTGTTTTTGTTTAAATAAAGCCTAGATAACTGGAACAGTTTTAAAATTCTTTTAGGATCTATTTATTTATTTTTGAATTCTCTACTGGTGTAAAAAAGCGGATCAGTTATTTAGTTATTTACTACAAATTAGCTTATTTTTAACCATAATTATTAGTGATAGTTATGAGATGTGAAGTTTTTGTTAATTTTACTTTATAATTTCGGTTTTGAGTTGCTGGTTTGGAAATACTTCTGAATTATGTCTGCTGATGCGTCACAGTGTTAAAGGCCATTAAGAAGCCATGTTTTCATACTATTTAGTTCATTATTACGCTGGATGTATTGCTTTTTGTTTAGGTTCTTTCTGTGGTTAATGTCATCCTTTCATATTTTATTTTTGGATGGGTTCAGAAGGAGTTGAATCTGTCGGGACAAATGATGCTACGTCCAATAAAACAATGTTTTGTAAGATTTTACTTCATGATTGTTATTATTGTTATTGTTATTATTTTTATTGTTTTAGTTTTGTTACTCTTACTTTTGTTGTTATTATTATTTTCATTATTGTTATTATTATTGTTACTATTGTTAATATTATTATAATATTTTATGCATCATACAAGTTCTTCTAAGAAGGAGAACTTCTGTAAACTTTTATTCTGAGTTTATTTGCAAACGTTTCTCATTCTAACTTAAATTTTCCAGGCACAAAGCCGGAATTGAC